TCCCTCTATCTGGCCCAGTGTCTGATAGAACCCTCCTTCATGTTGTTTGTAGGGTTGGGATTTTAAAGGCCTCTATGCAGTAACTTCTCAAGAACCAATGATCAGCAGAAGGCTTAACTGATGTTATGGTAAGCTGTTAATGATTAGTATATATCTTTTATGTTTGTATAAAAGCATTTTATAAATTTGTGATTACTTGTACTATCAAAATTCTACTTTAATACTGTATTTTAGATTGTCCCGTAAAAAAAACCCCGCTGAAGCAAATGTGAACTGTGAAACGTGTCGGGACACTACAACATTGACGTATTTGTATGTGATTTTATGCAACTGATTTGTAATTACATGTTTAAATGTTCACATTTGGTGGCCATGTATTGGTTCACCATTTTTTTACTGGAATATAATAAATATCTTATTTCTATTAAGTGTATTATCTTTGAAGCATGGTGGCTTTAAAGTCCCTTACTTTTGGAGGTAATTTCCTTCAGTGTGCATTGTCTATGGATAATCATTCAAACCACGAATTAACATTGCCTGCATTATTACAGATTACACTGATTTAAATGGAAATGCAGTATTATAGTTCCTGTGTTTTCTTTGGTAGATTCCCATAAATAAAATAGGTGTTTCTTTATAGCAAAGCCATGTCAAATGCATTAAGTAGATCTAACTGTAAATTAGTGGTCCTTTGGACATATTAGCTGTAAGAACTTATACACCAAACTTTCTATACAGTATTGATATGCAATGTATAGAATTATCAATATTTATAGAGTGTTTAGATGGATTTGGGTTAACTGATCAAAAGGATCTCAAATGCGGAGTCTTTTCAAATCAGAATAAACACAGACTTAAAGAGATGAGTTTATATGTCAGTGAAAACATTTCTATATTGAAAGCAGAATTCTTTCAACATCACAAAGAAATTACAATGTTTTCAGGAGTGTCAGAACAATGGCTGGTGACTAAATACTAGCACACTGAGAAAAAAGAGAGCTGTTATATACATCTATTTTCACAGAAAGAGAAAATTGAGAGGGATACCTTTTGACCATGATAAATGGAAGAAAATAATGGAAACTATAGCACTGTCATTAAGTAACTCAGATAGCTTTATTATCATATAACATTCTGTTGCAGTTTGAATTAGAATTGATAGAAGATATATTGAACAAAAAGTGATGTAGGAGTTTTAAAACTTCTCAGTGAATTGCATAAAGGAAATAGAAACACTATTTTACTTTAAAAAATACAAAGAACACCAATTTTTCATATAATACTGCAGTTTCATATAATATTACAAACAACCCTGTTGGATATAAAGCTGAACTCCAGCCTCACCTTATCAGTTCCCATTGATATTGCCTCCCATACTGGTTGCATAATAGCTTTGGTACAAATCTTGTACCTGCTGTGTGCCTCAAACCTCTCTCTGCATTTCAGTGGGTGCCAATTAACTTCCACGCTGTGCAATGTCTGCTGTCACCCAGTCCCTTGCTGGCTGGTCAAGCCATTAAAAAACACACATCATTTGGTCTTCTGGAAGTCAGGCAGCCATGATTCATTTCCCATGCTCATACCTAGTGTGTGCTAGAAGGCTATTTGCAAGGGGTTATCAAACACAACGCATGGAGAGCAGAGCACTGCCATGGGGGACATGGACCAATGCAAAAATACATTTTTAAGAAATATTATTCAATGGGGGACGGTCATTTTATTGTGACTTTGAGGGTATCATAGAAAAAAACATGACTTTCAAATAAATACCGGGGATTTGCCTTTAAGCTCTAATGCTATGGAACAGTATGCTTCCCCCAGACAGTTATTGATATTGACACCATATTCTGGCATCACATTAATTATATCTGATATATTTGTCACTTTTATTCCATGGCTTACATACAACAGCAACTTAAAAAAAAAAGTTTTTATTAGGTAGTTTTTGCTGCAACACCTGTTTTTTTTTTATTTTGCTGTGATATGCCAGTATTTAGTGTTGTAAATAACAGACAAAACAGACCTAAAAATTATTGGAAGGTTTACGCTTTCAAAAAAATAAAGCTAAACCTCTAAACTTCCTAACAATTTGGAAACAATAGGAAAACATGCGTTTCATAGCAGTTTTATCTTCTTTTAGTGCAATACCACAAACCTACATTTCAAGAGACGAGACAGTTATTATGCAGAAATAAAAATTACAATGCCATATTTCAGAGGCAATGGGCAGACATGTAGTGCAATGGTAGTGGAGTATGTAATTCACTTGATTGGGCAGCAGTGTAAGATAGAAAAATGTCAAAAAAGGAAAAGTGCCATCCAATTTGATACGATAACCATATCTAAATAATACCTCTGATTCACTTAGAATAAAAGTGTGGATTATAAACATGAATATACTGGAACACAGAAAAAAATGGCAGTTGACTAGTGCAAAAACCGCCTAGAAAGTGGTTAATTGAAATCCTATGCGGAGTAATATCACTACAAAAGTAGATGCGATATTGCATTTATTCGATCACATAGATCGTGAAACAGGTTGACATTAACAGGGTGAACATGTTGCAATCATATTAAAATCAAAGAATTAAAATAAAGAACCATTCGGCATCTTCAAAAAAAAACGGCTGTATAGGCAAAAATGATCCATATGAGGCAATAGAATTTCCTTTCTGTATTCATCTGCAGTAAAGTTCCATATTATAAGGCCTGGTAAAGTCTTTTTCTTCTTTAACTGTTCCTTCATGAACAGCACAATAAAGATGGATGGACTCCTAGGAATTAAATAGATAATGATGAATACAAAGGAAACGGGATAATCACTATGACGCCAGCTAAATAAACTGCTCATAATCAGGTTGATGAGATGTATTTCTCTTTACCTTCTTAGTGGCTGTGCCGTAATACAAGCATAATAGGTATAAACCTTCCTGGATAACCACCACAGATGGAAGTGAATCCACAGTAACAAGTGTCTCTAAAACTGAATACATATTAAATATTTTTTCTTTGAAGTAGATGCACTACAAGCTCCTGAAGAAACTGCTTTTGTTGTGAAACATGTAGAAAAAATTACAATAGTTAGTATAATACTCATGCCAATCTAATTTTCAGTGGTGATGTATTAAGGGGAGCACACCTTGGAGAGTGCAAACATCATGTATTTCTTGTGTAAAGATGGTGCAAGATGTTTTAAACTTTTGACAAAAATAAAAACTGTTTTGTTTTATAACTTTTGGTCTGGTATGTGCCTTTAAAGTTTTATTTTTTTGGTTTCAAGATTTATATGCTATTCAAGTGGGATGTGGCACTGGTTATACCTTTATTATGCCCATGGTGCCACCCAATGGGCACGCTAGATTCGGTGGTACCCAAATGGCTGGTTGATTTACCACTCTTAATTTTCTGTAGACAGAGGCTGCAAACCACTATGGTGCTGTTTGCAGCACATACGTGACAAAAAATGTAGACCTGAGGATAACAGTGGCTTTTTCCCTTGAAGTAAAGTCACGTGGTGCAATAGTGCTCTGCCCCCTTCACTCCTTTGCATACTTCTCCTGGATGAAATCCAACCTTGTGAATGTTGTGTCTTTCCCTCACTTTCTTCCTTTACTGTCTCTGGAACCCAGGTATGGTCTACAAAATCTTCATTCCTACCCTCTTTATCACTTGAGCTCACTTGGCAGTAAGCTGCAGCTGTAGAAATATCACTAGCAATTGCTTCTCGCTGCCTGGTGTAGTAATTCCAGAACAGCAGTACATGTCACTGTTGTCAGCTATATGGGAACTCTTTTACTCCTACAACCACACAAATCTGCATAAATGAAAAATAGGGATATAAAGTTTACAAGGCTGCCACTATAAATTGACTTTAAAAGTATTTGGAGACAACATATATCATGGAAAGTTGCAAAGCAGGTAAGGGGACTTATTTAGCATCAGCATAGGATTTAGTACATTCACTGAAATTCTGCTTTAACTACAGATGCTCTTTGAGATTGCACACCATTACACATTTATATGTGTTTTGTAAAATTTGTAAAATTGAGCAACAAAATGTATACTGTGTAGACCATCAAAGCCATTTAGACCAACATATAGTTGTGCTCAAAAGTTTGCATGCCCTTAGAGAATTGGTGATATACAGTACAATCTTTAAAGAAAACATGAGTGAACAGGCAAAGCCCACATATTTTTATTTTTTATGGGATTCATACTCAACTGTACATCATAACAGAATGAAACAAACATAAAAATTAACATAGCAACTAGTAAACAAATGAAATGACCCCTGTCCAAAAGTCTACTTAACTGTAGTCCTTAAAACTGTGTATTGCCCCATTTAGCATCAATGACAGCATGCAGTATTTTGTAATAGTTGCCTTTGTGTCCCCTAATTCTTGCAGGTGGTACAGCTGCCCATTCTGCTTGGCAAAATGCCTCCAGGTCATGCAAAGTCTTTGGACGTCTTGCATGAACCACACATTTGAGATCTCACCAGAGTGGCTTGATGATATTAAGGTCAAGAAACTATAATAGCCACTCTAGAAACTTTACTGTTTTCTGCTGTAACCACTGGAGGGTCAACTTGGCCTTGTGCTTAGGGTTATTGTCATGCTGGACAGTCCAAGAGCGTCCCATGAGCAGCTTCCATGCAGAAGAATGCATATTGTCTGCCTGTATTTTCTGATAACATGCTGCATTCATCTTGCCATCAATTTTCACAAGATTCTCCATGCCTTTAGAGCACACACCCCCCCCAAAACATCAGTGATCCATCACCCTGCTTCACAGTGAGGATGGTATTCTTGTCACTGTTGACCCTTCTCCAAACATAGCTCTTATGGCTGTGACCATAAAGCTCTATTTTGGTACCATCACTTCAGATTACAGTGTGCCAGAAGCTGCAAGGCATGTCAAAGTGTTGTTGGGCTTTTATGTGGCATTGGGGCAGTAAAGGCTCTTTTGGACCAAAGAGTGTCACCCTTCTAAAACTTCCAAATGCTGCAAATGCTAGGTGGCACTGATTGGCAGCACTGATAGGTGGCACTGACTGGCATTGATAGGTGGCACTGACTGGCACTGATGGGTGACACTGAAAGGCAGCTCAGATGGGCACTGATATGTGGCATTGATATGCACTGGTAGGTACTGATATGTGACATTGATGTGGCACTGATGGGCACTGGCAGGTGGCATGAATGAGCACTGACCGCTGGCACTGATGGACACTGAGAGGTAGCACTGCTGGGGCTACACAGATCATCAGGGCCCCCCCTGAGGGATGCCGATTACCGGCTCTCTACTCCTCACGAGCTGTAAGCATGACAGCTCGTGAGGAGAGAAATGCTGATAACCGGCATTTCCCTATTTACATGCGATCAGCTGTGATTGGACACAGCTGATCACATGACCAAGCCGACATCTTCGGCTCTTTCCATTGATTGGTGATCCTCTGTGTCCAAGGGACATAGCACACCACCAATCGCTGCGCACTCCCGAGCCGTGCATGAGTGGTTTAGAATGGGAGGACGTCATATGACGTCCTCCCAGAACGAGAGAACCGCCTTGCGCCTGTCATTGGACTATATGGCGGGCGGGAGGCGGTTAAGGTTTACAGTCAAGCTCTGCCACTGGTAGAACTTAGAACGCTATGTTCTATAAAGTTCATATTGTAAAGCGCTGAGCAAACTGTTGGCGCTATATAAATCCTGTATAATAATAATAATAAAGTTAATTTAGTCTAAGCGTAATAGGCAACAGTTACAACAGTTAATAGAAACCAAAAACTTAACTTTCATGGATTGAGGATCTGCCCTAGATAAGGTTGAATAACTGATCACATATATCCACTATATGTTTTACAGATGTTTTATTTTTTGCCTGCCGAAGGATTTGCCATTCTCTGTAGCTAATCTTGGAATTTACCAAAAATTCTTCCTGCGCCTAGTAAAACACTCTAATACAGGTTCTATCCTGCTGCTGTGCACTGTGATCAACACAAACAAAAAGGAAAAAACAGCGCAAACATAGACCTTTACATGAAATCAATATTACAAAGTGCAAACATAAGTGAAAAAAATTGATCAGTGGTAAAGTCCATCAAAATAAACCAAAGTTCAAAAAATATTAGTGCAAAAAAGAAAAAGAAAAAAGAAAAAAAGAAAAAAATATTTTCAAATTCTTCTTCTAATATAGAGGAACTTCCACCTTCCACCCGTGAAAACCAATATCAAATGCACTCACCCAGATAAAGGTGAAAAAAACGCCTCTTTAGGAATTTTATGGGATCCTACACCCCTCTTTCGTATCCACTCTATAGGAATCCTCCTCTCCACCATAGGCTCCACCATCCGACCAGGGAGAAAAAAAATCTCAGATAGTGTAATATTGTAAGACACCATTCATAAGTGAAATCAAGGATTAAGGTCACTCACATTCAATTCAATTTAAAAAGGCATATTTATTAGGATCAGTTTCTCCAGATAAACAGTAGATGCAAGGCAACCTCCCACGGAATCTCACATCACAGCTCCAGGTTTCAGCAGAAGCTCTACAGAGACACCGCATATACAGATCCCAAAAGATGGCCGCTGGAACGCACCGCTCAGCGTGCGCTCCACTCACCGGAAGTGACGTCAGACGTACGGAGTACAAACCGGAAATGCGTCAACGCGTTTCGCCCCTCCCATCGGGCGTTCTCAAGACGTTTTCATTTCCTGTCTGAAGCTCCCTTATATACCCAGCAGAGACCCACCCCTCCGTTTCAATTGGTCAAAACTCTTCCCCGGGATGATCAAACAAACCACTCCTCCTGTAACGTGACGTGAGAGTCCCTTACAGATGAGGTAAATGCCTATACAATTAGAAATCTTTTTACATGTTATTCCTGACACTATTAAATTATCTCCCAGAAGCGACATGTATATTACCACATGTCCCCAGTGGGAAAAACACGAACAAAGTATTAAACAATGCCTCACTATTAAAAACAACTTTCTTTAATATATGAGCAATGAATACTAAATAGTATAAAATGAAAATAAATATGAATGTAAAGAAAATAAAAAATATAAGATGAAAATAAAAATAAAAAATAAAAATAAAAATGAAAAATAAAAATAAAAATAAATAAAAAAATAAATAATAAATAATAAATAATAAAAATAAAATAAAAACAAATATAAATAAAAATAAAAATAAAGAATAAAAATAAAAATAAATATAAAAATAAAAATAAATATAAAAATAAAATTAAAAATAAAAATAAATAAAAATAAAAAATTAAATTAATTAAAAAGAAAAAGAAAAAGAAAAAGAAAATAAAATAAAAATAAAAAATGAATGAAATAAAAATAAAAATAAAAATAAAACTCAAAATAATATGTGAAATAAAATAAAAAAATATATATAAAAAATAAATAAATAAAAATATAAATAAAATTAAAAATAAAAATAAAAATAAACCAATAACAAAAATAATAAAAAAATTTAAAAAATGCAATAGCATTACAATGTGTAAAAAAAAACTATTAATAAGACACCTGAGGAATTTTTAATGGAAATAGTCTATGCTCTTACCAATTAGACAAAAAACAATTAATGTCTATGTCCGAATTCAACCCTTTGGGGTACAAAGATCCTAATTGAAAGATCCATTTTGTTTCATTCTGCGAGATACTCTTGACCATATCTCCCCCCCTCCAATGGGAAACGATCCGATCAATCCCGCAGAATTTCAAACACGATGGATCCCTATTATGACACATTCTGAAATGATAGGAAAGACTGTGATGTTTATATCCTTTTTTAATATTTCTAATGTGTTCACCTAATCTCACCGACAATTTCCTAGACGTTCTACCTACGTATTGCAGATGACAAGAGCACTCCAACACATACGTAACAAAGGAACTATCACAAGTTATAAAATTATTTATTTTATAAGAGGAACCCGTAGAACAAGAATGAAACGAATCATATCTCCTCTTAGTATCTCCTCTCATATTTTCTACATGCCATACACCTTTTACATTTATAAAACCCCACAGTATCCAAAAAAGTTGCCTTTTTCTTCGGAATATCTGGGATTTTTTTTGCTAACTTCATTCTCAATGTGGGTGGTTTTCTGTAAATGAATGAAGGTTTCTCAGGTATTAAATCATGGAGAACATCATCCCTCTTCAGAATCGACCAGTGTTTTCTTATAATATTTTCAATAACCTTATGTTGATTAGAGTAACCCGTGATAAAAGCCAGTTCACCTACTTTCTTCTTGTTCTTTCTATTTATTAATAATTCATCTCTATTAATCCTCCTCACTTGATCCATTGCACCTGTTAGAATATTTTCTTCATAGCCTTTTTCTCTAAACCTTTCCAACAACATATTTGCTTGCTCTTGAAATATCTTATTGTCATCACAGTTCCGCTTAAGTCTAATCAATTGGCTTTTAGGAATGGACCTCAACCAATTTCTATGGTGGCAACTGTGGATTGGGATGTAAGCATTCCTATCCACTTGTTTAAAATATGTTTTGTGTGAAGATAGTCCCCCTGTCTATAGATGACTAAATCAAGAAAGTCTATAGATTCCATACCGATATGGTTAGTGAATTGTGATGTTATAAGGATTACACTCCATTCCACGGATGTACTCCTCTAAACCATTCCTGGTTCCCTTCCAAATTATCACGATGTCATCTATAAACCTTCTAAAGAGTAGTAATTTCTCATTCATCTTTCCAAATATAGCTTTATCTTCCCACATACTCATAAAAAGGTTGGCTACTGATGGAGCATATTTCGCTCCCATCGCGACTCCAGTGCACTGCCTATAATAATTGTTTGAATGCCAAAAATAGTTATTTGACATTGCTAGGTCAAGACAATCTAGCAAAAAATCAATTTGATCACCTTTTAAACCCGATTTTTTCTCCAATGCCCCATCTCATACTCACCGCTGTTAAAGCATCCTCATGTCTAATGTTGGTGTATAGTGCATTCACATCAACACTGGCCAAAACACAGTTCTCTTTAATCCTTATTTTTTTCAAAACTGAGATCAAATCTCCACTATCCTTAAGGTAAGATGGAAAACCTGATACCAGAGGTTGTAGGAATTCATCCACATATTCCCCTAGTCTCGAAAAAAGTGAGTCAATCCCATTGACAATGGGTCTTCCAGGGGGTTTTAATAAACTTTTATGTATCTTGGGTAGTTGGTATATAACAGTTTAAACAGGTGCTTTTGGTACCAAATATCTCGCTTCTTTTTTATTTAAAAAACCTTCTCTTTTCACCTCTTTTCACTAGTTTCATTAATTTGTTCTTGTAACTTTTTAGAGGGTTGCCCCTCAATTTTCTCATATGTATTTTCGTCACCCACCAATCTATTCAGTTCTTCATAATAATCATTCCTATTCAACACCACCACCCCCCTCCTCCTTTGTCTGCTGATCTTATTACAATGTTATATATTTTTTTCTAATTGTTGAATTCCTCTAATTAAATCATGCTTCATCCTCTTATTAGGAACCGATAATACCTCCAAATCATATTCCACCATCTTTTTGAATGTATCTATACAACAATTATTTCCTACTTTTGGGTTGAACACAGACTTATTCCTCAAATTGGTGTGCTTATAAACCCCTTCATTCCCATCATTGCTCATTCTCCCCACCCTTATGAGGATCAATAGCATTAGATTTGGAGTTTTTACTCCAATATTTTTTTAAATTTAATTTTCTGATAAATCTATGAAGATCTATATAAGTCTCCAATTTATTTTAATTTTTTGTCGGGTGCAAATTTCAGACCCAATGCTGCTAAGACCCTCAATTCCTCCTCTTTTAAAATGTAATCACTTAAGTTGAAAATTCCTTTATTTACATTGACCTTTTCCTTTTTTTCCTTTTACCTCCCCTACATCCCCTGTATTTCTTCCTTCCCAATAGGGGTCCTGGTAGTTTGGGTCCTGATAATTTTGGTAATTCTGATAATTTGGAGGTGGTTTCCATCCACCCCTCCCTCCTCTGTTTGGGTAATACTGACCCCCCCCTCCTCTCCCTCTCGGTTGTAAACTCCTCTTTGGTTCCCCCCTCTCCATGGCGGTCCCCCACAAAACCTCCTCTTGGAAAAACCTTTCCCTCATATTGATGATTATATGGGGATCCCATTAGAGGTCCAAATCTATTGTATGTGGGCACCCCATAGTTAGAAGTTGGATTCTCATCCATGTTCTTTCTAGGGGAAGAATTCTTTTGTATATTTTTTTGAAAAAGCAACCGTAGCTGCCTTAATCTTCACTCCAGATGATCCCAATTTAGAACCTGGATCTTTGGTATCCCCCTCAACTGAGGAATTCCTAGAATCGTCAGTTCCCTTACTATTATCATCCTGCCATTTATAAACATTTTGGGATTTGTAATCCTGTATATATCTCTACCATATTTCTTAATTT